TCTCTCTCTCTCTCTCTCTCTCTCTCTCTCTCTCTCTCTCTCTCTCTCTCTCTCTCTCTCTCTCTTTCTCCCTCTTTTCTCTCTTCCTCTCTCCCTCTTTCTTTTTCTCTCTCTCCGTATCTCTCTCTCTTTCCCTCTTCGATACTCGCAATTAGCACGCGGACTCCAACTGCGCTCAGAATAACCGGGATGCATGTTCGTTCATTCATGCCACATCAATTTCTGTCTGAGAATATTGAATCACAATAAAGGGGTCCGGTTTATTAATATTAAATCGCGACGTTCTATCAATATCAAATTGCGACGTGCACGTCGAGTTAGGCCGCTACAAGTCGATTCACCAGAGACTCGCGAGAAATACCACAATAACATTCATAAATTTGTATGCGTACGCGTATATATAGCTTTGTAAATATCTAAATATAATTGTGTACAGACTGTACTCTGTATGTAAATCATGTTTTAGCCCGTGAGGAGACTTGTCTTCATACAATATAATTGTGTTATATTATGAATTTTACCTCGGGGTTAAACAAAAATTCAGCTCGCACAAGGAGAGAAAGAGAGAGAAAGAGAGGGGGGGGGGAGAGAGCGAAGTTATTAATATTGTTGCATTATGAAACAATCGATATTTTTAACAGCAAAAAATAGCAACAAGATAATTATTTGATATAATATAATTATGCCAAACTGCCAGATATTTTTGAATCTGTGACTTGTACTAAATAACAAAAATAAATTCGTTATTTTATTTCAAGCAGAGTGGAGAAATAAAGAAGGAAGGAAAGAGAGAAAGGGAAAAAAGATCTTAATCACCTACTTTCTATTTATTTGCGAACTCCAGAGAGAAATTAGTACAGTGTGTTTACTCATGATAATACAGAACAGTTCTTGAATAATGCACGGATGCAGGCGAACTCGATAACAAACGTATCGTCGACGCGATAAACGGTTTGAAACATTTTAACCCAATTGATTTTGCAGAAAACTACTCGGTCTCCTCTATCGCCGGCGTATCGTCGGCTACTATTATTACCGCGTTAAAATCGATCAATCGAGCGTCGCACTTCGAGCTCGCAATTTGCCACGCGAATAATATCGTTCTCATCGCGAGTCGCTATTTAAGTCGAGATGCGAAAAAGCGGAAGCGAATTTTCGCGCTCGCGAATGCCGCGTAAATGGCGCTAAAGCGGGCGCAACCAGTTTACAGAGTGATACGTGATATGCGATCATGATACGCATCGCCTTGATAATCGAGAACAGAAATTTTTCCGCCGAACATCAGTAACAGGCACGAGCAGGTGCGGGGCGTTGTACGCTCCTGCTGCGTTTATCACGCACCCACCCATCCCCGTAACGCATCGTGACTTCGCTCAGCAAAAGGGAGACTATTACTACTACGCAGGGTTGGATTGGATACGGGGGGAAAAAGGGACTTTACCTTCCGGCACATTAGATGATCGTGCCAGTCATTTTTTCCAGCCGGAGACGCTTCCGCCGCGTTATCTTTTCGCGTTTTCCCTCCACCCCTACATCCCTTTACCCTCGCCTATTCCCCTTTCCACTTCTCCTGGCTCGGACGCTTTGTAATACGTAAGATAGACGACCGGGACATTTTACGCGAATCGCACGTTACAGGGTGTGTCTTATCAATGGAAAGGTGCGTAATACCAGGGAATGAACGATAAGTGCGCGTTTCTGTTAAACGGATATTCCTGAGGAATTCTGGAAATTTTCGTCAAGGAGAATCCGATTCGAAAAGCGGATCGAACATAGCGAGCCGAAATCACCGTATCCCGTGGTAATTCCCACGCGAAATATCTTATTTTTAGTGACGGATTTTAGTGACGGATTCCGCTGATATACCATTCAGTTTGTAATTAATTTTGTAACATTCTCCGAGCAACTTGTTCATCTCGACCGAAGCCTGATCGTCGTCCGTGCACGATTCAGGGAATTCTCGCGACGTTAAATATTCATAGTGGGAATTCCGCAATTATCATATCAAAAACTCGGGCAAAATTTACGGAATAATAAATTATTATCCGTCGCTGTATAAAACATATAACCCGCGTTCGGATCTACCAAGGTTAACCCCGTAACTTTGCCTTACCTTGAGTTTTCGCGAGGGAAAACTTGATCGCGCGGATTCGCGCCGATAATACGTTCCTCAAGTTTGACGTAAACTTCAGGAAACACCCCGTATAACGGGTGTAGGTCTACAGTGCCTTCAATTTGTTTTCTCATGAATACTTTCCTCCGATCCTGGCGAGCGACGACGTGAATGCACCGCTCGCGCAGTCGCACTCGCCTGTAGATACGGAACAGCCACCAGGAAAGTGTAAATTAAAATCCAGGGCGGTTACTCGCGCAAAGAGTGAAGGAGAGAAGGGAGAGGGGAAAGAGAGGAAGATAAAGTGGACGAAGGTGAAGTGTGAAAAGAAACTTGTGCAATAAAATTCGCAAAATTTATGAATTAACTTACACGTTGGGTGTAAGTTGCTGGAGACACACACGTACGTAAATATAATACATTACAATAATATTAATATTAATTACACATTATAATACAAAAGAGCTGTAAATAATAGGGAAAATTATTATGCTACAACGTATGAGAGACGCATGCCTCGATTAAGACTTTTATGAATGTCACATTCGAGAGATGAAAGCTTTCCCAGATCAAAAGAGAGGACAACATTTTTCGGCTTTGCCACGCAATTCGATTTTTCGCAAATCACGATCATGGATCAGAATGCGATGTTGAGTCACAGGTTCTCCAAATTTCGCATCGTATCAGTCAACAATAACATCTCTGTCCGAGTTACATCTCAATGTGAGCAGATCGCAGTTTCGACTCGTATTCGTGATCCATCTTCTCCGCGATTCACAGAGAGACACGCGGACAACATTTAATGGATGCGTTGCTCGTCGCGTACAATCCGATTTGGCCGAATTTTCGCCGGATTGAATTTCGTACCGATACTAATTAGGTATCACGTCGTCGTTAATTCACCACCGAGACTCCAAAATATTCTTCACCGAGGAGAAAGAAAAACGATTCGCGCTCAGCCACGATTGTTCCCTAAAATTCGATTTCTTTTTCCCCGTGCAAAATTTCGCGGTGAATCTCTCGCGCGCGCGAGGAGGGGAAGGAGAAAGAGAGTGAGAGAGAGAGAGGTAGGGGAAAGGGAGAGAGGGAGAGAGACAGCAACGTCACGCCAATTCTGGGACACCCTATAAACCTCCTATACACCCCCTGCACGAACAGCCCTGCGTGGCAGCGCGCTCAGCGCGTTCTCCACCTCCGCCACCGCCTCTACCGCCGCCGACGCCACCACCGCCACCGCCGCCGTCGCTGCCGCCGCCGCCGCCGCCGTCGTAGAGGGTTGTACATCGCGCGAGCATCGAAACGCGTCGAAACGCGAGGCGGCCGGATCGGACTGACTCGCGAAAATCGATCGGCGCCCCGTCGCGTCGTCGTCCTCTCTCACCCTCGCGGATATTATAGCGGCCTGCCCGCGCGGCGAGGAAGCGTGCAGCGCGTCGCACGCGACAGCACGCGTCGCGAAGAGCTGTCGTCGTCGTCGCCGTCGCCGTTGCCGTTGCCGTCCTCGTCGTCGAGAAATTCGGCCGTCGGGCGAAGCGGAAAATCGGCCAGGACGGGGCAAGAAAGACGTGACTCTTCTATTCGTCCCGGCCTCACGAAAAAGCGACCGGCTCGATTGTCAATTGCGAAAATCGAGGGGTAGAAGGGAAAGAAAGTTCAATCGCCCTGTCGATGCCGGCCCACGATCGTTATCGAGATCGTGCGAGGGAGTTTCTTGCCGTTCTTGTGAGTGTGAGATTCCGCTGGAGAAACCAAGCAAGGGAGGACGACGTCGATGGGGGTGTCGGAATTCGGCATCGAGCGACCGGTGGCCGGTGGTAGAGCGGAGCGAACGGCTCGCTCGTGGGGTGCGCGTGTGTGATCGGTACCTTTAATCGACGAATTCGTCGAAATTCGGTGAAATTTCAAGTAGATCGTTTGAGACTTTCGACGGATAAGGGTGGAAACGTGCGAACGATCGGTTTTATGTGTGTCCGTGTGTATGTGTGTATGTACAAGAGTGTATGTGCGACTGTGCGTGTCTACCGCAGCGAATCGTTGAGTTATCAATTACGTCTGCCGAAAGGTGAACTAATTAATACCGTTAAAAAGTTGCGGACTAAGCGAGATTGCTCCAAATTTTTCTGAAAAATTAAGGTGAGACGGCTGATAATAAACGGCTGCACACAGCTGTCTGTATCTACTACGAGGAGATGATCGCGCTTCTAAATAGCTAGAGAAACGGTGGAGTCAGCCGGCACTGTGAAAGGTAGAATCGGCCGATTTTTGTGAACGAGCCAGCAAATTTAGCAGGCTCGTTCATTTAGAGTCGGCTTCGAGTGCCTCTCTGTCGTTTTCAACAGTGTGCTCTACCACATCGCCGACATCGCCTCGTATACGTTTCCCGCTCCAGTTATTCCTCGCTCTGTCTCCTCTTCTCCCCGGAAAGACGTCCGAAATAATATAAGAAATGATTGATCGCGACGGAAATTGAAGACGAGCGATAACAACGGAAGTATCGTGGGAATTGCGAGCACACGACGCTCTCTCTCTCTCTCCCCCCCCCCC